AGAGTATCGATCATGGAAGATCAACAACTTTCCAGGGCACATTCGAGGATTCACAATACTACGCACTGGGATATACGGCTTCGAATGACTTGGTTGTGAGGACAATGCAATTGATCACTCTACAATGGTACTTCTCTTGTTACGCTGGAAGCAAAGGGAAAAGAAGATGATGATATTGTGTAGCTGCAGCCGCTTAAATGGGGTCATTGTAACTGCTGGTCACGTAGTAAGCTGCTAGCTAAATGACTTTAGCTTTTGAGGGATTCCAGGGTACTTTGAACATGAGCGCAGAAGTACCTAGATGCCATCAGAGGTGAATCAATGATCACGAAGATGCTACTTACTCCTCAATATCATAAAAGAGTTCATTGGTCTAACATGTGCCCCGAAGCGTAAAGCCTAGAAAAAGTGAATCAATAATCATGAAGATGCGTAAAAAATAACCAAAGATCGGGTCAAAAGTAAGGTATAAATCAGTTTCAAGTGAAAGAAAAGTGAAGGCAAAGTGACCTACTTCTGAAGGCCATGGTGAAAGCTGTCAGATGAGGTCGTTTGCCCCTCCGTAGTTCAAGACTCTGCAATAGTTTGAGAGAAGAGAGGAGTGAATCAGAGCGAGTATAAGAAAGAATAGTAACTTGTACTAGTTCAAACTATCGACGTGGAAGTAGGAACTAAGGAGACTAAGTAGGCTATATACCGCATTATATTAATACAGAATATAGAGTCGATATAATACAGAGTCTCTCGCCCTACTAATAAAGACTAGATGATTTGATGGATCGAGGAGAAACGCCATATTACCCTATCTCCAAATGATTGTATGGTAGTCCTGCAGCAAAATCAATATAGTGACAGTCGAGTGATGTGAACTCGGTTTACATTGGCATGAGACCTGGATCTCAATGGCCAATATTCCACTTCAATGCTATATAATCGCATTGCAAGGAAAATATAAAGAAAACGATGCTTCAAACCCTTGGGGATCGCTATAGATATGTGAGCACGTGATAATCCGTGGTCAGGTTTACTGTTGACCTTGCACCGGGCTCCTCCAGGCCTGGAGCCCCCGGGTGCCCCGAGCCTTCCAGGCTTTCTCCGGGCCTTTCTCCGGGGCTAGGCAGCCCTGGACTATATGCATAGGGGTAATGTATATGATATGCCCCGGTCATAGAGTACATATGTAGTTGAGATGAGCATTCACAGAATATTACAGGCAATGACAGATTCAAGTTTATTCAAATCAATAAATCAAAGCATAAACATTGCAAGATTGTAAGTTTGATACAGTTAACGGGCGGTATGCCAAGACCGGGCCCAACCTCCATCACCGCCGTCAAAAGTTGAGTAATCTGCCAGAGCATCATTGCATTCGGACTTGCCTATTCCGCAATCTTCTGCGATATAGTAAGTGTTTTACCGATATCAAGGCAAGCGCGACCGTGTATATCAATAAACACACGACTATCTCGCGTCGATTATCCTGTCTCCAACACCATTCAGCTCCTGCTTTTAAACCTTGAATCCTCAGCACCATATCATCGCAGAGATGGACGGGTCTCAGGGCCAAGTTGGACAGCCAATGGGCGCCCCGCAGCCACAGCACTCAAATCTCATTCGAACCGACCAAGTGCAGAAGCTACCACACCTCAGTGACCAGCAGAAGGCCCAGCATACCCAGCTAGTGCGCAGCCTCTGGGATCTCCTGAATACCCGCGATCCACAGACCCATGAATACCAACAGGCGCATACGAAGCTCTCGCAGCTGTCCCAGAACTTAATGAAAGGAATGCGAGTGTTCCAGCAGAACCGACAGCAGGCAATGCAGCAGCACCAGCACCAGCAGGGAGCGGTGCAACAAGGACAGCCAGGACAACAGCCACAGCAAGGGCAGCAGCCACAACCGGTGCAACAAGGCTCTCAGGGAGCGCAGGGACCACAGGGACAACCAGTCCAGCGAACACAATCCAACAACCCACAGACGATTAATCAGCTCATTCCGCAAATCCAAGCCCGGGTCAGCGCGCTCAATTTTTTCCTGCCTCCGAACGTGACCCCCGAGCAGGTGCAGACATGGATACCCGAGGCTCGATTGCGATATGGTATCGCTCTTCAAAAGCAGGAGGTTGGGCGGGCTCGCATGGCTGATCTTCGTTCATCATATGCTCAGCGGCAGGCTCAGGGCAATATGAGCCAAGAGGAAATGCAGGAATTCAAAAACCGGCAGTTGGCGGCTGAAAAGCTTTTCCGAGAGGGCAGCGAGTTCCTGAACAAGTTCAAGGAACAGCAGGAAAGCTTCAAGATTCAATCGCAGCAAAATCCACAGAATCAAACGATGAATCAGGCGGCACAGGCAAATACGCCCATCAATTTGAACCCAGCCCCAGTCGCTCCTCCCGTCTCAACACAAAGCGTACCAAATCCCCAGGTAGGAGCGGCAGCAAACCCCATGCAATCAGGGCAACCTCAGCCCCCAGCTCCCCATACTATCAACTCAGCGGTCAACGCAGCACGCCAAACTGCCATGTCCCCCTCTGCCTCTCAACCTGGACAACCACCTTCCGCCCAATCTGCTGGAAACACTCCAGTCCCAATCAGTGCACCACTGCCTCAGGTGCAACGTCCACAGCCACCATCCCAGCAAGGAACTCCAGGAGGGCAACTCACTTTCAGCCAAACCCCCCATCCTGACGGTTCCACCCCCACACCCCCCGGGCCTCCCCAACAGGCGAACCAAGGCCCACCTCGTCCTCTCTCACATCAAGCTGCTATCTCACAAGCCGCCCAAACCTACACTAACCCCACCCCTCAACAACAAACAATGAATCAGCAAGCCCAGGCCAACCAGCAGGCTCACCCCCAGGGTTATCTTGCCAACCGCCCGGGTGAAGCATCCACCCGCAACACCAACATGGCAATCCCCAAGAACCTGCACGTCTCCACCCCCGAGCCCGTCTCAATGCCAGGTTCCCGTCCATCTCTGTCTGGCGGTCCCAGCCACGGTGCCATGGGCATGATGGGCCAGCCCGCGATCCAGAAACACCCCGGCTACGTTCTTGAAGGCGAAGGTCAACGCGTGCTGAGTAAGAAGATGCTTGATATCCTCGTGCGCCAGGTCACCGGTGGCGGCGAAGGAGAAATGCTGACTCCAGATGCGGAAGAGGTAAGTTTATCGCTCTTCGAAGTGAGAGACAAATAAAAAAGCGATCAAAAATGTTAACATTTCCCAGTTCATCCTCCAGATGGCTGATGACTTCGTCGACGAAGTCATCACCCAAGCCTGCCGCCTCGCCAAGCTGCGTCCTTCCTCGACTCTCGAGCTGCGCGATATCCAGCTCGTCCTCGAGCGCAACTACAACATGCGTATCTCCGGCTTCTCTACCGATGATCTCCGCACCGTCAAGAAGCCCCAGCCTACCCAGGGCTGGACTCAGAAGATGTCTGCTATCCAAGCTGCCAAGGTCACTCAGGGCAAGAACGAGTAAGATGTAAATGCAAATTGCATTACGGCTGCTCTCGCAATCTCGCGTTCAGTCGGGCTGGTCTGCCTTGCTTTTTCTTATGTTGCACGCTTTGCTTTGCTTTACGTCTCATGTTCTTTTCTCGGAGGTCAAATTGGGGTGTTTTTCTTTTTCTTTTTCTGTTTCTACTTTACCCTTTCTATTGATTCTCTTGAGAATATGGCGTCTACGTGATGAATGGGCAGGTCTTACATATCTTTCTTTGCGTACCTTGTTCAGCTCGCGTTCCATCATGGTTGGAAGGGGGTCTTTTTAGTGGTCTCTTACTTAGGTCCATCTTTGCTTTCTTGCGGCCCAATTTATGCTATGCTTGAATAATGAATTGCCTACCGTGGCTTGTCTAAGATTATTTCGCTCCGTATGCTGGTAATGTTGTATATGCATATGGTCTTCCGAGCTCCGGTCTAGGGAAGATGTAGATATATTAAACAGGTCGAGCCCTAGCTAGAATCGAATCTCACAGGGGCAGTCACCATTGTATCCCACTTGCACAACATACCTAGGTGGTTACTGTCTGTACATTATGTCCACAGAGTTTGCTAGAAAGCATCTACTTTACAACTCGTTGACTATATCATCTACAAAAGAACCCAACAGAAAAAGAAGTAGAGTAAGGAAGCTCCCACGCTGGATTCTGCTAAGTTGATCACCCTCAGCAAATAAGAAGCACGAATATCGAGAGAAAACATGTGGTATAGTGGTTGGTACAGGGTATGGAGAGAGACTCGATCGAGGAGGCAAATCAAAGAGAAAAGAAAAGCAAGCGGGATTCACAAGAGAGATACAATAAGGAAAAAAAAAATCGTTCGATGAACGGAGTGAGGACCGGATTCTGAGCCCGGCGATATTCTTTGGTTGTGGAGTTGTTCTTTTTGAACGAAAAGCGAAAAAGAAAAGGTAAAAAGGAAATGAGACGGTTGGTGGAAAGATTGGATCATCAATGCGGCGTTGGCATGGGATATGACAATAACACTTAATGGGCTGGAGATAAGGTCTGGTTATGATATAGAGAGTGTGGCAACGGTATGTTCGATCAATGAGAGTGGGATCTGTACAGTCCACGGGCGGCCTGCGGACAGTACAGGGCCTTGGCTAGCAAGACTAGGGAGAATGTAGGCGTTTGAGACGGCGAAGAAAAGAGCAAAAGAGTTGGTGAGGTTGAGCCTTCGGGGTTCGGGTTTGGGGCTGTGTCCAAATGTTCCGAGTAATCAAGGCAAAGGTACACAGGAAACCACGAAGAGACGGAAATGTCCAACAGAAATTATACACATGTCACTCATGAACATCAGTTTCTTGCGGAAAGTGTTTGGGGAAAGTATGAGGATGAAAAGGTGATGATATGCCTCGCGCAGACCCATGCTGAGGAAACGAAATAGGCGGTTCTATCAAGAGCAACAAGGAGGATATCTCGCTGAATACAACAAAAAAACAATATTAAGAGACGAATAAAGGTATCAGGAGGATGTCAGTCGCTGCAAAAAGCTAACGTCGAACCGGACTGGCAGTCAGGAAATTGCCCCGATCAACTTCCTTGCCTTTGCAGGGAGTTGGCGGTGGAGCGTCGTGAGGGATAGGAGGTAATTCCTTGTCTGACGCTGGAGGGCCATGTCGGCTGTTTGAGCTGCGCCCTCCAACGCTGCTGGCCTCGCCGGCTTCATCCACAATGGGGAGAGTCGAAGTCGGACCAGGGCCCCCGGCGTCGGCTGGGTCCCAAACAGTAGCTAATGTTCGAGGATGCGTGACGGAGACATCTTTCGATGCCTCCTTCTCCGCTGCCTGCATTGTCCGCTCGACAGAAGAGTCTCTCGAACGTCGGTTTTCAGTTGATTGCTGAGGTGCGCCGGACGCGGAGACGCGAGACTCGCGTCGTCGTTCGGCTTCTTCCCTCGACATGGTGATTCCCTTGATGAAATTAATGAAGCGCTCTCCATAGCTCTCTGGTGGGATTGGAGAAATCTGTGACCGGTCGTGCGAGAGTCCTTTGAAAAAGTTCTCAAGTTTCTTGGTGGTCCCGTAATGAGTCAGGCAATCGATGATACCGAGGTAATAGATCTCGTCGCCGGGTTGGCCATTTTCATGAGTTGCCCGGAAACCTCCATCATCCGCATAGAAGACATGATATTTCCGTTCATCGAGGATTTCGTCTGGCATCTTCGCAGCTGATTTGTCCAATGGAACAGGCCGTTCACGTTTGATAAGCATGCGCAGCTCCCGGGCCTTGCGTTCATTCTCCAATTTTGACGGAGTGCGCATCAAGTTGTTGGGAGTCGTATCTTCTTCGCGATGGCCTCCTGGCTGGAAAACCTGAAGAGTCTTGTCGCGCAGGTTCTCTTCATTGCCCCTGCCCGCATCATGGATTCCTACCAGAAGAGAATAGTCCATGATCTTGAGTTTCTGAAGCAACACGACGTCACGTTTCAATTGCTCAATGAAAAATTCTCGTTTTGTCGGGCCACATTCCAAGTGACGGTTGCGACGAACCCAGTTCAGGTCCTTCATGGTCGCTCTGGGGTTTCTCTCGAGATCTGACTCCTGCAGATCACGGCCAATGGTCGAGCCCTTCAGGTCGAATGTCTGGTGGATATCCCGGTGGGGTGGGAACAGGTTATTCATCACGACGAAGTGAATCTTTCGGCCGTAAGCCATCTTGACTCGGTGCAATCCGTAGAATTGTGAGATGAGAGTGTTGGGGTTGTTCTCCACGTGCCGGTAGTACTCAGGAAGAATCTTCCGGAGAAGTTTGTGCTCGGAATGGTGAATGGTCTTGATGATGTACTTGTAATCACGCGAGAAGTAAAAGAAGCTCCCACTCTTGCCGGGGGAGCCCAATTCTGACAAGATGTACTTGCTTGTGAGGGACATCAGGTAGTCGGCGGGATCGAGACGGAACTTGGCGCGAAGGTGTCGGAAAACCCAAGGTGCGTAGTCTTTGAACTTGAAGTCGTATTTTGCGGAGGGAATCAGTTCATTTCCAGTTCTGCTGTGGTCAGTAAAGTCCAAAACATTGTCAACATTAGAGGGGGTGCACACATGTCAAAGGAGAACTTGTGTTTGGCATCAAAGTCCGCCGGGGTGAGTTCCCGGTCCATTTTCGCGTTGATTCTCGAGACCGTGAAGCGGATACCAGTCAACATGTTGTATGCTGTCACATAGTTGACGTGGTTCTGGTCCACCTTGGTGCCCACAATCACCCGTTCGTCATCCTCCTCTTCGCGGCGGCGTCGCGAGGCTCGCTTTTGTTTAATAGCTTCAGCCCAACGGGCCGCATCTTCATCCGGCGGTGCCTCATCCAAAGTAATATCTTGATGGGTGCTGTTTTTCGTTGCCCTTCTGATAAGACCGATTGACGCGCGTCGGAAGCCGGTCGTCGGTGACATTCGGCCACTCGTGTACGCAGCATCCTCATTGTATTCTCGACTATCTCGCCGAACACTAGGCGTTCTCGGAACCTGCAATGAATGTCTGTTTCGTATACTGGAGTTCTGTGAATCTGGCATGGAGGCAGCATCGAGTGTGGATGAGGTGGGAGGGGAGTGGCGCGGTTGGCTGGGCTTCGTGTTCGGCATCAAGCGATCGGGTTCTGGAGAATAACGACCGGTCTCATCCTGCTGCGGGATTTGTAAGAGCGAGGCTGACGGTGATATCGATAACTCATCGGCAGAAGGCCGATGAACGTCTCCATTGACCATGAGTTTCCCCTGGACAGGCCGGCCATTTGCAGTGCCATTGGGTTGTTGATTGGAAAGGGGTGCCGTTGTGGAAATAGCGCCCGGTCCATTTTCCGAAGGTTTACGGTCCAACATGGCGGGCGGCCGGCCGTTCTCGCGGGGATCCCTCATGGATCCATTGCCTACCGAATGCATGCTGCCGTCCTTGGACAAGGGCGGTTCGCGCGTGTACGAGCTGACACTAGATCGAGGGCCATTCAGGGAGTATGCACTACCGTTCTTTAGATCGGTCAGAAGATGTCGGTCATTCTGGTGAGAGTCGTTCGCGTCGTTGCCGTTGGGCCAGTTGGTCCACAGGAAAGTGTTTCCGACGGAGGTCTTGTCGTGCGACTTTCGAGATGATTCGAACGAACGAGGATGAGTGGTCGTGGTAGTGGTAGTCTGATAGGAGACGTCGTTGAAGGATGGCATGTTGAACTTCAGGGAACGGGGGTGACGTGAGTTCTGCGTGGACCGGCAACCCGATTGACGGCAGTCGCCCTTATTGGCGGAGATTCAGGAAAGTTATGAACCGGACGAAGCAGAGAAATGAAAACAAAGAAAGTATAGAGCCAGTTGCCCAGGGTGAGAATATTCAGTTCGACATATTTCAATGCAAGGGAAGAGGGTAAATGAAGTTGTAAAATGGGGAAAATATGGGGGGGGGAGGGTGAGGTGGAAATGGTTGGCTGGGAGAAAAGAAATTACACGCATGAAATACACCACCATATCTTTTTACTTGGATTTCTTTAAATGTATTAGATTTTTATATTGTATTCTGATAGTGAACCCTTTTATTTAATTTCTTTCTTCTTCCTACGTCGAGTGTACATAAAAATGGTGTAGAAATCATATAATACCAAGGTATCAGGCTGCTGCATAAAAAAATCTCGGATGTTCGAGCGTTCATCACATCATATTTTTCCATATTTCTTTTTCTACAATATATCACTTCATTGGACTCTAAACCATCCCCTTCCCTATTGTTTATGTAAGGATATTGCAAGCCTATCGAGTCTATAAGGGAGTCATATATAGTACCTGGAGCAATACCCATATTTGGCATTCCGCAGTTTAGCGGTCCATGGCCCATTACAATACCAACTCAAGCCTTATTTTACTTTGGTAGGGAATGAAAATTTAGAGTCTTCATTGTATACAACCCAATTCCAAAAATAGGGCTCTCCATGAAATCGTCCGCATTTGCACATCTACGCCACAGGGGAAATTCTCCACTATAAAGATACAAAGATAGTAAGGATACTACCATAAAAGTGGTTCACTCTAATTCGGCTAAATGTGGATTTTGGCTATCTTTTTGGATTTTTTTCTACACATGTGCTCATATATTAGTACATATTGTACTCCATTAATCTCCGACTTGTATTCTCTCAACCTAGGTTGGACTATCTCATAACCCGCCGAACTTCTCAAAATGAATACTTGTTTCGGTCCCATAGACCAAGTGATACAAAGATACAAAGATAAAAATAAAACACACTGACATGAGACAATAAGTGGAGAGATCTACAGTTTGTTTATAATATACGCGGTTGACAGCCCTAAAGTCTACGTAGTATGTACTATGTACGTTTACGCTCTAAATTTCAAATCCCAATTTGAATTCCACAGCGCCAATGGAATTAATCACAATATCAAGGTAATAAGACTGCTGTTCCCCATTGTAAACCCCACCGCAGGACGCCATCCATTGGACTTTGGAAAGAAGCAAAGCCATCATAACAAAGAGACCCAAAAAAAAGTAAAAGAGAAACGGAAAAAAAAGAGGCAGAGGAAACCATCAGAGCCAGAGAGATCAGTCCAAAGAAATTACAAGAGAAGAAGGAATCAGTACGAGGTGACTCTCCCTGGAAATGCGCACGTGAAAACATAGGGAGAGCTCGACCTAGTGAAAAAAAAAGAGGATATCAAATCCTCTATTTCTTGGCAGTCCGCTTCTTGGGAGCTGCCCGGGTTGTTGTGGGCTGCGGGGCAGTAGTCTTGGTGACACGGCCAGACTTGGTTTTTCCCAGAATCTTGGGCTGCTCAACGACAGCAGGAGCCTGGAGTGCTCGTCAGTAACCGGGTCGATCAAAGGGGTAGACTCGACATGCGGAATCAACTTACGGTGACGGGAGTCTTGCGGGCCTTGCCAGAGTTAGCCTTGGGCTTGGTGGCAGTGGCCTTCTTGGGAGCAGCCTTCTTGGGAGCAGCCTTCTTGGGAGCAGCAGTCTTTGCGACAGCCTTCTTGGGGGCGGCCTTCTTGGCAGCAGGCTTATATTACGATTAGCAGCTAACACAGAATTACAGCCTCGATGAAAGCTTACCTTGGCAGCAGGCTTAGCAACGGGCTTAGCAGCGGCAGGCTTAGGAGCGGCCTTGACAGGGGCATCCTTCTTCGCAAGCTTCAAGGGGCCCGATGGGCCTAGAGGACGCGTCAGTTAAATAGTCAAATACCAGACGAAACTACCCGAATCACATATAGCGAGATGCAAAAGCTGAATCGAATCGCGCAGAGTAGGATAGAATCATGGCGCGCAAGCAGTGGTAAGAACTTACCCTTGGGCTGAGTGAACTCATTCTTCTCAACGCCGGTCTTGATGGCCTTGTTGAACTGAGAGTCGAAGACGCTCTGTGAAGTGACGTTGATCTTGTTGTTAGACTGAACGTACTTCTTGATAGCCTGACGACTAAAATAGGGGAGACTCAGTCAGTGGCTTTCCTGGAATAGACGGGAATCTTGAGCCCCCGAGAGAGAAAACGGTAACATACCTGCTACCATTGCGTTCTTTCAGCTATACGCAGAAAGGGACCAAGTCAGCAATGAGAAATAATAAAAAAACAATTGTTGTGGTTGTGCCCAAAGGCAAAGACGTGTCACGGTCGGGCGCGCGACCCGAATCACAACAACCAAGGCTCGCGCCGGCAGTGATCAACTCACGCTAATAATAGCATCCTTGATCATATCTGTATCGATGGAATCAGCAGATATTCGCGACTAGATTCATATCCATATCGCTTTTGCGCGATGTGGTGGGCATTCAGGATCAGTGAAAACATACCGCGGTAGGAAGTGTGAGGAGGCGGCGCCGCCTTCTTGGACGCGCTGGTAACCTTCTTGGGAGGCATGATTGATGATGATTGACTGAAGTTGAGAAAGGTGAAGATGAAGACGGTCAAGGTAGTCAGAAGATGAGATTAGGAAAAAAACGTGGGAGGAGTGAAAGCAAAAGAGGAAGAAAAAGAGCAGAAGGGAAAGGGAAGGCCGCGGGGCATCCGTGATTTATAGGCGACCGGTGTTGACAAGATCATCAGAGAGAAAAAAAAAAGCACTTCTTTTCTTTTGGATTTTCTTTTCTTAAATTTCTCTTCTAGCTGTTTCTTCTTTTAATTAATGTTGCGTGTGTGTGTGTGTGTGTGTGTCTTGCTGTGTTCTTTGCAAGTAGATGTCTCTTCCTTCCAACTAAGAATGATGTCTCTACACATTCTCTGTTATATGAGATACTTGGAATACTCGAGATATTTTGTTATCCATCTCAGTATCTATGAGAATAACAGAAGATTTTGCGATATTATGACGCGATAATAGTATAAACTGGTAAGATGATGCTTCTACGCGTCCCTTTCCCCTCGATAGAAATCGCGCATACTCTATTTTGGAGGATTTTTGGAGCTTTGGGAGCGAGCACATCTCTCTCAGAGAGGGCCTCTAGGGAGGGATCCTTTTCTTAAGCCACATTCCAATGCCATCTGGGGTAGCTTATCCCTCTGAGGATCTATCAACCCTACTTCAGACTTGGAATCCAAGAAAAACACAATTCGGAGCTATAGTATGACCTTTTGTACCTATTCGCTACATCATATCCTCCTTACCTGTGGGACCTGCATCGCCTCGTGCTAAAAGGTCACGTTGTAGATAAACCGGCGACTCGATTTCCGTGGTACAACCCCTAGATGATGTCGACATTCGACGCGTACTCTGAACTTTTGTAGGTGCGAATTCGGAATAAGCTGATAAAGATCTGGGTTCGGTCTTTTTGATTAGGGAGAACTAGATAGACAATAGGGGAAATGGGAATAATGGGAATAATAGCAATATGAGCAACATGAGTATTTGTACTCCATGGAGCAATATAGACCACATATATATCATCGAAACGAAAAGCGCAAATGAATATAAATTTTTTTTCTTCCATTTTTATCAAGGTATTTAGCTATTTCAGAAGCCATACAACAAGATTTATGAAGCCCAACTTCGGGGCTAAAGTGGCATACGATATATATCGCCCAAGAGAGGGGAAAGCTCTCTCACCTACGCCACTACCTAGTCACATCAGGATCAGCAGACACGGCCAATAAAAGAAGCAGAATAGCCCCGATCCCACTATTTCCAGCCGATATTCATAAAGTTACCGACAAGTAAGGTAGCTTGAGATCGACCTGCGCTCTATACCCGGACCCATCTGAACAGGTTTTGTTCCAACAAACCAACGGGTGATAAAAATACAATATTATTGGACCAAACTCCTAGTTTCCTACTGTATGTCCCCGATCATTGGTCTATCAGCGTAGTCGTGCGACGGAGATCATCGTATCTGCATCCGCAACCGGCGTGTCGAATCAAAGGCTCAGCTGGCGGGAGCGCTGATCCTGCACTACATGGACTCTTCATGCATATTTCGAGGGTGTAGATTGCTCATGGTAACTGGTGCCAGCGTATATTTCTGCGTTTGAAATGTTTGCTGCTTTTTGCTCGTGAAGATCAGTCGTAGTTGGTGTTTTGAGGCCTCGACTAATCTCGCTAATCGGGCCCGATCTATACAACTCTCTATACGCGAATGTTGGATATTGACACCCTGCAATAACTGCACCAGAACATCCCCAAAGGAGATCTGACATGCTCATGGGTGGAGAACACATGGAAGATAATAAATATACAATATTTGGACCTTTCTGTCAACCGTGGCACCGAGGATCAGACAAAAGGCCAGTGTCTACTCTACTTGATCTTGTCTGATCCTAGAGTCTACGGGGCTGGAAAATGTCACTGGGACAATAAAGAAGCATCGGAATACATATTTCCCAAGTTCTATTTCAAATCAGACCACTCTTTGCTATGATACACGGAACTTCATGTCCTATCCCGATCCCGAGGCGAAACGGACATTGTCCGCACGAATGAAAATAACCAGAAATAATGCAAATAAACCACAAAACGCCCACGCCAGTCCAGCTCATGTTAGATCAGGAAATAATTTTGTATCATAAGTTGTTTTTTGACAGAAAAAAAAAATCTCTCACCAAGAAACTAAGCCGCTCCACGCGGCTTCGCCTTGGCATCCTTCTTAGCTTTGGCTTCTTCCTTCTTTTTCTTCTTTTGCTGCTGCAGCTTCTCATCGTGCTTGCGCTTGAGAGATGCTTTCTCGTCTTCA